AGGTTGAGCAAGTTACGTTCCACCCTTTAAATATTGTAAATAGCTTTATTTCCTGTTAATGGGGTAATTTTTACAGTACCTACTATCTCCTTTGACAGCACTTTTTATCCACCCGCAAATGGGCTGCATTTACCGAATCAATTATGTGAGTTATGAAGAGGAGCACAAAGCCTCTTCGCCACTCCATTCTTCTCAATAACAAAGGAGAAAACACATTAAAAACTAGCATTGATGGGTTGTTGTGAGATCCAGTCAATGAGCACTCCCAGAGTTGAAATTAAAAGGCAGTTAGGAGAAAATTGTTTTCTCTGGTCATCAGTCACCATGTGAAAGGGCTTTTTCACAATGATTAATTAAAAGCTGGAGACTTGGGGGGGTGTCGGTGGGTCGGTGATGGGGGGAAGAGAATGGAGCGTCAATAAAGTATCTGTATGGGGGAGGGGAGGGGGAATCATGAGTTAATGGACAGTGGCTTGCCTTGACTAAGTGTTATAGCCCCAGTCCATAATTTCATCTTGAAAATGGGCAAGGGAGTGAATCTTCCTCTTAGTAATTGAGTATTGATTTGAAAATAAATGGCACTGAAACTCCCACTGAACTGTCAGGATATATTCCGGACAGCGGTGACAATAAATGGTTTCTAGTTGGTGTGAAAGTTATGTATCAGCTCGATACTTAAACACATACAGCTCATCTGCAATCTGTCTTCCGATTTATCAAGCTTCAGAGAGGTCAATACATGACGTCGCATAGGAAATAACATCTATGAGATTGAAGCCAAGATGGTCTTAGCGGCAGAGACTGGGGGCCCTTTCAGTACTTCCTTTCATTTGCAGAGTTATTTAGAAAACCGCAGCAGTGATAGAGCGATGCTTCCGATGTCTGTCCCCTGATTTCTTCTTCTGGCAACTTAGAAATGGTTCTTCAAGAGACAGGAACATGCAAAGCTGTCTGGCACCAGGTTAGACTATTGGACAACCTACTCAAGGTTGTCTACTCTGAGATCACATCCACAGCATAAATTTAAATAAATATTATACTGTTTTAACTGTCTGGCTTCCCCCAAAGAATCATGGGAACTGTAGTTTTTAAGGGTCCTGAAACAAAACACATTTTGTTTGTTTGTTTGTTTGTTTGTCACAGAACGACCCAAAGCAACTTACATTAAAACTAATAACATCTCATTTTTTAAAACAAACAAACAGATAAAACCCTACAAAAAAGAGGCTATAACACCACCCTTCGAATTAAGGGTTGAAAGCCCAGGTAAAAGGAAAAATATTTTCCTGGTGCCTAAAAATAGGTAAAGATGGCATCAGGAGTATTCCCCGGTGTGTAGCATTCCCAGAGTTCACTAAGTAGCGGGACTGACTGATAAACACACCCACGCCAATTTGCCTTCTCTGACTTTCAGACTTGAACTCCAACAGTCTGTATTGACAAATAATGTGTAGAACCTTCGAAAGAGATTGAAGAAGCATTTCCTGTCCCCACTTCATCACTTCCTGTTCCTCCTTTGGTGGGCATAGTCATCAGCATCATAGTCTTCTTGAAAACAAGACTGTTGTTTTCTTCCAGGCTGCCCAACGTATTTGCCCTATTTTAAAAATAGCTGCTGTATGAACTTTGTAAGCCCACAAGGAAGATAATCATACAAAAAATATGGATAGGATAGCATATGGTCCATCCACTGGAATGCTTACATATCTAGTGAAGTGGGTGTTTTGTGTATGCGTTGTTTGCATACTGTAAACAAGACTTAATAAACAGTCTCACTTTGCACTGGGGAAAATGTATTTTGGGTATATATGCAATTCATTTAAACTTGGCTTGAGAAGGAAGGAATTTCAGGGACGTTGTTTAGAAGTGAAAATGCCTCTCAAAACTTTCACCTTCTCGATTCCTGTTCATTACCAAGCTGCCTACAGCTGAGAATGTTTTATTAATACAGGAGAAGGGCTGTTGAAAAGGAAAGCCCTTCTGCAAGCAGATTCTTGGCAAAACTACTTGGAGGAGGAAAAGTACCCGGTGGACCCAAGTCAGTTTGGCAACAGCTTTTTCAGTTCTACTGTATCCCTTTCGGCATGCAATGATCAGAACTTTCAGACCCTTCAAGTGTCTCTATTTTCCAAGGACAGTCCTTGGAAGCCACCCCAGTTTCTGATTTGATCCCAGAATGTCCCTCATTTCCTTAGGAGGTCCCTTTTTTCATTGGAGAACTGTTGGAGGGTATGGAGTTGTGCAAGCCCCGAGCCAAGGAGATAGGTAACTGTACAACTTTTAGAAGACATCTCAAGTTCAAGTTTATTGCGGCCAAAGCCAGCGACACTAAACACGACAAGATCAGACAACAAGAAATCAGCAACAACTTCAGAAAAGAAAAAAGGTTACACAAGAGAACTTCACAGTGTGCCATTCAACAGAAGAGATTTACGCTTCTTAATTACTAAAGTGCAAAATTTAGCCACCTCATATGATACTGAGCTTGAGGAATCTTCCAAGAGGTGTTTTCGAAGAATTTCAGGGAGGATTCCAAATAATATTGAAGGGGTATAAATTTTGATAGAAGCGGTAAAATAAGTTGAACTCGTTCTTCACTATAGAATTCGCAAGATAGAAGAATGTGTGTGACAGATTCTACCTTATTAGACATACAAGGGCAGAGACGCGCATGCATTGGAACTCGCGTGAATTTGCCGTACAGCACTGCTGAGGGCATTGTCTCAAAGCGGGCTCTAGAGAAAGCCCATCTATAGGTTTCGTTAGTGATGTTAGTTAAGTAAGGGGCAGCTACAAAATTAGGCCATTAGAAGACATCTGAAAGCAGCCCTGTATAGGGAAGTTTTTAAATGGCTCGGGATCGCAAAACCTCAAGGACTGCCTCTTTCCATATGAAACTATCTGGACCCTGAGGTCATCTTCTGAGGCCCTTTTTTGTGTGCCTCCTCCACAAGAGGTCTGGAGGATGGCAACATGAGAACGGGCCTTTCCTTCAGTGGCTTCCCGTTTGTGGAATGCTCTCGCCAGGGAGATTTGCCTGACGCCTTTATTATATACCTTCAGGCACCAGGCAAAAATGTTCCTCTTTAACCAGGTCTTTGGTTGATTGACATCCAATGCTCTTTTGATATGTTTTTTGGGGGGGTTATTGGGTTGTTTTGTTGTTTTTAATTTGATTGTGTATTTTGTGATTTTATGTTGTGATTTTATTTGGTGAACTGCTCTGAGACCTGTGGGTATAGGACAGCATACTATTATTAAAGCCACCCAGAGTGGCTGGGGCAACCCCATCAGATGGGTGGGGAACAACAACAACAACAACAACAACATCCTTATTTTCATCGGAGAAATGTTGGAGGATATGAACTTTCTGTGGGCACATCATAGATCTTAATAAAGGTATTGCAATACTGGATTAATTTCCAAATCCTTTCCTAATGATTCCCAACATGGACTTTCTCTCTCTGTCTCTTTACAGCTATCACATCCTGGACCAACATTTTCACTGAGCTGTCCACCACAATCCTAAGATCTATTTCTTAGTTATTCACCACCGGTTCAGGCCTCATCTGGGTATTTGCAAAGTTAGACTAGATAGATATATCACCGCTTCCATTGAACCGCATCTGCCATTTTGCAGCCCATTAACCCGCTTGGGAGAGAGCCTTTCTGGAGCTCTTCACAGTCCCTTATTGCTTTTACTACCCCGGGCAATTTAGTGTCATCAGCAAACTTGCCTATCTTAGGACTCGTCCCGAATTCGAGATCTTTAATGAACAAGATAAAAAGCACAGGAAATGAAGGTGGGTGTGGCCAAAAGTGGGCAGGACATCCCCCCTCCTCTTTGTTAATCCACCATGGATTCCATCTCTCTCTTTCACACACAAACCTCCACAACCAGGAATCAATTGATTCATTTCCCACCTCTGGGCTTGGGGTTGTTGTTGTTTAGTCATTTTAGTTGTGTCCGACTCTTCGTGACCCCATGGACATGAGCACGCCAGGTACTCCTGTCTTTCACTGCCTCCAGCAGTTTGGTCAAAGTCATGCTGGTAGCTTCGAGAACACTGTCCAACCATCTCGTCCTCTGTCATCCCCTTCTCCTTGTGCCCTCCATCTTTCCCAACATCAGGGTCTTTTCCAGGGAGTCTTCTCTTCTCATGAAGTGGCCAAAGTACTGGATCCTCAGCTTCATGATCTGTCCTTCCAGTGAGCACTCAGGGCTGATTTCCTTAAGAATGGATAGGTTTGATCTTCTTGCAGTCCATGGGACTCTCAAGAGTCTCCTCCAGCACCATAATTCAAAAGCATCAATTCTTCGGCGATCAGCCTTCTTTATGGTCCAGCTCTCAACACCCCAAATGAGTGAGTTGGAGGACTTCATTTGGCCCTCTGGCTATGGGTTGTACTGTATTCTAAATGATGACTCCTTTCTGCTCCATTAGGACGCTCGACTTAATTTCTCCAGGCAGGTGTTTTTCTACATTTCGCACGTGAAGTTTAAAGGAAGGTGACACCTCAAATTCTTCTGAGATTGCAAACTTCTGTGACTTGGGAAAACACATACACAGGGTGGTTTATTTCTTCAGTACCCGTAGGTACCTTACCATAATATGTCCTTTACACATTTCTAATAAGCAAAGGATTTCTCAGTGTGTACTTCGCTGTAAATATGACTTTAAGTGGACAGCTTTCATCTCCTAGGAGCCGCTGAAGAACAATCAGCAAATTGAGATGTACTTTTTTTATATTTTTGACAAGCATTTGGCTAGTTGCTTGTGCCACCAATCGACTGCTGAAATGAAGAGCTGCCTTGTGCAGTTTTTGCAGTGGGAAATGAGAAAAGCAACGGATGGTTATTAAGTGATGCTCGCCGGTTTAATAAGACTTCTCTGCAGCGTTGGAGAAATGACGAAGGGGCAGATTGCTATTGGGCACAGAGCTAACTTTGTATCTATGCCTACAGGTTGCTGGTGCATGTCAGACTTGTGTGTGTATTGCAATGCATCAATGGAACGCGTGCATTTTAAAAATCTATTCAGCGTAACCCCTGCAAAGAAATCATTAACTGTGGGATGTTGATGCTGCACGGCCAAGTCAACCAGCTTGTACATGCACTTGTTGACTGACAGGTAGGGATGAAAGAATCTGTCAGTTTTGATTCTCAGAGAGTCTATTTTTTCAGCTTTAACTTCTGTTCTCTACAATTCCATAGCAATTTGCAATTTTTAAAAAACAACAACAACAAACACTCATGAAAATTCACTAGCAATTTTTTTCTCCTGATGAACATATTTTTGTATGCAGTTTTTGATTAGTATACATTTTTTTGCAAGCTGTTTCCCTAAAAAAACAACAACAAACAAACCAGGGCCTTCTGAAGGAGTACATACAATATTTCCATTTCTGGTTGAGAAATAGCAAAATATGACCAGAAGCCAAAAGACACAAATCCTGGCACATAAACTTCACCTTTGCATTCCACATACCAGACCACATTACCAAGAAGTGTGGGTCCAGGTACTCCAAAAGGCATTCATATTGATAGAGCTGTTCATATGAAGCCACTGGGGGTCATGGTGAGAATCCAAACAGTATGTGAAAAACCCATTTCATTTTTGAAGGTAATAACACCGTTAACCCTTCCAGTGTGATCCACTAGTTTTTCATACTAGGGCTGTGTCAATTTTTTTCTCCCATGCATTTTTCAACCACTCTTTCTTAATTGATAAGAAAGGCTATTGCATTCAAAAACTATCAAAGGGGAGAGAAAAATTGAGTGAAATTCTCATAAGGAAATCCCCAAAGGCTTGTTCACATGTCACACAGGCGTGAGCTGTCACTACACATGTACAAGTGTGCACTTGTCGATTTGCACAGCTGAAATATTCTGTTCACAGCTACATAAATTGTATATGTTTTGTGTATTACGTGTGACTAACACATGAGTGTACAGTTCAGTTATTTGTGTACACTGATTGTACACTTATTGAATGTAACATGTGAACATCCCTTGTGTGAAAGTGTGTATTTGTTTATTTGCACAGCTCAACCGTTGGACACAGATGCAAAAACTGAATGCTCACCAAATGTTACATGTAAAGAAGTATACAGCTCAATGATGTTTGTACGCTTTATGAATGCTTGCTATATGAAAATTCACAAAGAGGAATTAGTATCCAAACCTTGCTATACACACTGTGGATTCAGATAATTGAAAGCATTTTTTTACTTCCTCATTTGCCTTTTACTGGTTGGCTGAGGAACGGAGGGAGGGCGAGTGATTTGCCAAAGCAGAGAGCATTTTTCCTGGGTTGTTTTTGCTTTTTTGGAGTGGGGGGAGTTCAAAATTCTGTGGCCAGGAATGCATGAGCAATTTTCCCATAGGAATAAATAGGAATTGTGAGAATGCTTGTCTAACAGAAGATTTCCAGGGAGCGCATTGCAAAGTGAGATCTGAGTGTACACAGGTACACAGATTATACATTCACTGAATGCAACATTTGTACACTTCTAATGTGTGCTGCAAATAAGGCAGAAACTTTGGGACAGAAACTTTCCAAGAAATTGAAAGGAGCTTTCAGCATAGCGCTCTTTCAAACACAGGAGTAGCTTGTGGGCCAACTCAGCTGCATGTAAGGCAGAGGATTGAGGCCTGAAGCATATATGTTTGTGTCAGAAGAGAAATCCTCAGTCAATCCCCACCATAAAACCTGAGAAGAAACCTTTCATAGCATAGCCCACTGCTCCAAAAAGCAGATGAGGCATAAACGAGTGCAGCAAACAGCCATATTGTTTTATCAATATTCTTCCCATTTGTTCATACTTTTAGGCTCTCCTTGAATGAGATAATCCTCTCTGCTAGAGGCAAATGTCAGGTTGCATCACATGGGCGGAGGGGAAAGCCAGCTGGAGTTGAGCACAAATTCTTCCTCAGTAGAGTTCAGTTGAGAACTTGAGATGGGAGAGAATTTAATTCTGTCTGTATTTATAAGCAAAACAAACCATTTTGCACCTCCCAGTCTAATACTTGGGTTGGAATATAATTATGATTTAGATTTTTTGGTGCTCTGAATTTTGCAATATAAATCTCGGCTCATGAGTTAAGATAAAAAATACATAACAAATTGTGCTTTTTAAGATAAATGTATATTTAGAAATGCATATGTTGATATATACTATGCACTTCTTTGCATAGTTCACAGATCAATGGAATCAATATATAAATGAACACAGATGGAACGGGAAATAAAATGGATCCATCCATCCATATGAATAATGGACACAAGGTACTGGGGTGCTGTGGCCCAGATGGGAGGGATCTACATTTGGCTGCATTCTTAAACTGGTTTATATAGCCGAGCCAAAATTACTCACTTTCTAGCAACACTTTCAGGAAAACCTGCCTCTGACATTTTAGTTAGTTAATTTTTATAAAAAGATGTGTAGGCCGCTTAATAATAAAATCCCTGGCATACAAAATAAAATCACTAATAAAATCCAAAAATAAGCAAGTACACATAACTATTAATAGGGAAAAAAGACACACTTCTTTACTCTGGCTTCTGATACCTGATCTACAGATAGATCAGAAGAATCTTTATTTGCACCAGCCACTAGCCATAGCAATAAAATAAAATAAAATAAAATGTACCGAAGATATACAAAATATGTTTAGGAGGTTAGATCAATAATCAAATGATAGCTCTTGTTCTAATTGCCCCTGCTAAAAACCTTGCAGTTTTTGCTGTCACCTGATCATCTTGGATAAATAGATATATATATAAAGCCCACCCTATTTTGTTTTAACTGAGTTTAATATTGCATTTTTCTATTGTTGTAGCCCATCCTGGGACCTTATGGTGAAGGGCAGATAAGGAATCTCAATAACAATAGTAATAATAACAATTGCAAAACTTTTACAACGAACATAAATAACTAATTCATATGTCTGGGTTGGCTTGCTGAAATAAAAAAGTTTTTAGAAAGGGTCTAAAATGATATTGTGAAGGCTTTGTCAACAGGTAGATAGTTCCAAAGGCTAGGTGCCACCACACCAAGCAATCAGCTCCTTGCAAATGAATGAGATCACATTGAGTGACATGGCCTCTCCTAGCAAAGGCCCAGCTTCTCTCCTTTTAATATACAGACCCCTCTCCACCCACCCACCCTCCCTCGGCTAGTTTATACATGTAATGAGCATTTACCATGAATTCTGAGAACAGAGTGACAGTGGAACATATATTTCTGACAAGATAGCCTCCTGCTAGACTCAGCTAAAATATGCAGCAATATGATGTGCTGCCACAGAGGTGACTGAATGATGTTTCCCCACCAGGGAAAGCATCCGGCAAGGCAAACCTCTCTTGTGATGTGCTTTGACCTCTAGCTTGTCAAATCAAGAATTCTTGATCTTCTTTCCAGTATAGCTGGGAATCAATCTGTACTTGCTCAGATGAGAAAAAAGTGGGGGGAGAGATTCATATGCTACTTTGCTGATATGACAAGGCATAAGCATGCATAGCCACTGGGCTATGAGTGGCAAAATAAGGAATTTGCCTTCCGATCTCTCGGCTGTACTCAGCTAAGAAATCGGCTCTGGTTGATTTAACGAGGAATCAAAATGAATGGGCTGATTTGCCATGGTTCATCCTGGCAAGGAAATCTGAATTAGTATGCTATAATTATTATTGCTTATTATTGTTGATTTATTAATCATCTTCTAAACAGACATCTCAAGGGGAATTACAAAATAAGGTTATGAAAAACTGTTAAAACACCAAATACATTTAAAACAAGACGAAAACCTTAACAAAGTAGGCACCCATTTAGCCTATGGGAACAACAATGTCTTTGGTTGTTTCGGGAAAGTGCAGATAGTGGGTGCTTATCATACCTGACCAGGAACGCAATGCCACAGGATGGGGCAGCCACACTAAACACCCTGCTCCGAAATACTGCAGAATGGGTTTCTGAGATTTTTGGAACTTGCCGGAGAAACTCTTTTGCAGACTGCAGAGAGAGATCTACTGGGTGTTTAAGGGATAAAGTGGTCTGTCGAGTAATCTGCTCCTGAGCTGTGGAGGGCTTTATATTGTTGTGAGTTTGGAGGGGGGGCGTGGTATGCTGTATGCCTGAGTCCCTTCTTATTCCTGGATCCAACAAGAATTCAATTGCTGGAATAGCCAGGCCAGCTTCTTAATAATGGCTCCCTAAGTACAGGTTAGGGAGTTCGAAAGCACCCCTAAGTGCAAGTAGATAAATAGGTACCGCTTTATAGCGGGAAGGTAAACGGTGTTTCTGTGTGTGGCGCTGGTGCTGGCTCGCCAGCTGCAGCTTCGTCACACTGGCCACATGACCCGGAAGTGTCTTCGGACGGCGCCGGCTCCCGGCCTCTTGAGCGAGATGAGCGCGCAACCCTAGAGTCGGTCACGACTGGCCCGGACGGGCAGGGGTACCTTTACCTTTGCCTTTTAAGTACAGGTTGGGACGCGGGTGGCGCTGTGGGTTAAACCACAGAGCCTAGGACTTGCTGATCAGAAGGTCGGCAGTTCGAATCCCCGCGATGGGGTGAGCTCCCGTTGCTCGGTCCCTGCTTCTGCCAACCTAGCAGTTTGAAAGCACGTCAAAGTGCAAGTAGATAAATAGCTCCCACTCAGGCGGGAAGGTAAACGGTGTTTCCGTGCGCTGCTCTGGTTCGCCAGAAGTGGCTTAGTCATGCTGGCCACATGACCCGGAAGCTGTACGCCGGCTCCCTCGGCCAATAAAGCGAGATGAGCGCCGCAACCCCAGAGTCGGTCACGACTGGACCTAATGGTCAGGGGTCCCTTTACCTTTAAGTACAGGTTGTTAAGTTAACAAAGGAAGGCTTTATGCCAGAGAGCACGGGCCCTTCCCTCAACTGTCTGGTAGTTAGAAGGACAAAAGCCAGGTGTGAGCTAGAAGCAGGTGTGAGCTAGAAGCAGGAAGCAGGCTGGTCAGCTAAGAGACAGAACCATGCATGGTCTCTGTTGGAATCCTGAAACCTTTTTGGGGTGTCAATGCCGTGATCCCCTCCATCATAGGCTCGGGTTATATCTGTGCAAACAAACCACGTATCCTAAGGACACCCTAGTCTCCACTGTCCCTTATTCTGAGGAAGCCAAATATTGGGCAAGTACTTAGAACTCCTGGAATCTTGCACCACTGGGAGGTAGGGATGGCATGCAACAATATGTTAATACTTGAACTTGGCCCAGTCACAAATTGGCAGCCAGTGCAAATTGCAAAAGTGATGTGTTATATGCTGGTGGTGGTTTGCCCCCACAAGCCACCTAGCCACCATGTTCTTTACCATCTGCAGCCTCTGGACCAACCCCAGGGGTAAGTCCACATAGAGTGCCATGCTGTAATCCAACCATGAGGTCACCAATGCATGGGCAACTGTGGTCAAGCTATCCTGATCCTGGAACTGCCATAGGTGCCTTTTGAACCAAAGTTGGCAAAAGGCACTCCTAGCCACTGAGAACATCTGCGCCTCCAGGGACAGAATTGGATCGAGGAGCAACCCCAAAGGACACACTAGGATATTCATTGCATCCATCAAACTCTCCCTTTGATCCTGATTTGTTTTTAACTACCAGAGGGGTGGGAAAACCCAGTTCACCAACTGAACACATAATGGGAAATGGTGGTTCCAGACAACCTGTTTACTCATCCTGATTTATTTTCAGGGAGGTTTGTTTGTAAAGAGATGAGCACTCATTTTGTTCCCTTTGCTAGAAGGTCAGATAACATTGCAGAAAAGCAAATGTTGCCCCACACTCTACAGTGCAATTTCCACCACTTTTCCTCCTTGCAGAAGTCCGATCTTTTGAGGGATTCATTGCACAAGTCCTCCCAATCAGCTCTAAATGTGCAAAGTTAATTTGTCAGTATGTGACTGAGTCCCACACCAGAATGGCGACAGTTGACAAAAAGAGGTCCTGGCTCTTTTTGCACTTCCCTTTAGCCATGCGTCTGATGTTAATGCATATCTGGTCTGTGACTTCCAAGGATGGGTGATCTTATGCAGTGTTTCTCTTTCAGGCTGCTTACTATGACGGTGTTGAAAAAGGCAGAGTTCTCATGTCCTGTTCATCTGAGAGGGCCATCAGGAAGTCTCAACCTGTTTCCTTCTCTCATCAGTGTAGGCAGAGCCAACACCCATTCATTCAACCATTCATTCATTCTGCACACTCACACGACTTACTAGAATATAATCTTCCAACAAAAGATTTAAAAATACATTAAAACATCAATCGTTAAAAACCTCCCTAAACAGGGCTGCCTTCAGTTGTCTTCTAAACGTCAGAGAGTTGTTTATTTCTTTGACATCTGATGGGAGGGCGTTCCACAGGGCGGGTGCCACTACTGAGAAGGCCGTCAGCCAGGTTTCCTGTAACTTTGCTTCTCACAGTGAGGGAACCGCCAGAAGGCCCTTGGCGCTGGGCCTCCGTGTCCGGGCAGAACAATGGGGGTGGAGATGCTCCTTCAGGTATAGTGGGTTGAGGCCTTTTAGGGCTTTAAAGGTCAGCACCAACACTTGGATTTTTGCTTGGAAATGTACTGGGAGCCAATGTAGATCTTACAATTCATTACTCCACATTGGAGAGTTAAAAAAATTAGGAATAACTGAAGGTACTTAAATGTAAGAGCAATAAGAAGCAAAAAGCACTTGAGGTAGGTTACAAGTATGCGGGCCAGTGTTCTTTAATGGTTAAGAGTGTTGGACCAGGACCTAGGAGTTGCAGGTTCGGATCCTACCACAATAATATGTGGGGTGTTTTCATAATGATCAAAGGGTGCTTTCTGAAGTAAACCATTTCAAATCACATGCAAGATTTAAATAATAACAATAAGAAGAACTTGTTTTTATTTCACTTAGGTATTTGGAATAGTTTACTCATCGCGATGGAATCCTAGAAGTATTTCAATAGTGAAAAAGAGAGAGAAAGAGAGTGACTAGTCTTCATTATTAGTGTTAACTTTTATTATTATCTAGTTTCTATTAGAAACTAGATCTGCCTGTAAGGGTATTTTAACCTTGTAATGTTTCCAATAATAGACTAATGGCTAAAAACCTAGAAACTCGGAGAGGTATTACATGTTTAATTTACTGCTAGAGGCATGTAACTAATGAATTATATTACACAGCGATGTCCTTTACTTTGACCATAATCTTCATTTCAAGCAACTGCAGGAAAATCTCCTCCCCCCCCCCTCAATTGCTGAAGGCAATAGAGATTATTACACACATAGCAAAATTCCTTCTGAGAAGCAATTAGGAAATCCTGGTACCCAAAAAACAGTCACTAGAATGTGTATCGATTGATTCTGCTAACGACACCCCTCCAAAGCTGGGATAGGGTTCACAAATTCTTGTGAGAATCTGTGTACACTGAAAGAAACCAAATAACAGCACAGGGGTCATTATCAGGGCCCCCACTGGCACTATTGGGTCTGTTTTCAGTTCTTAGCTTTATTCTCATTTGAGAAATGGGAAACGTCTGGCAGACATATTCACCTCCCCACTCAAAAAACCCCCAACAACACATCATTATCGTATCATCTAACTTTTTCTGTGGAATGTATTATAGATAACTGGACAGCTCTAAAGTGTATTGCGTATTTCCTTAGACTGTCAAGAAGTGCAGAAAAATCTATACTTTGTTGTTGTTGTTATTGTTGTTTAGTCATTTAGTCGTGTCCCACTCTTCGTGACCCCATGGACCAGAGCACGCCAGGCACTCCTGTCTTCCACTGCCTCCCGCAGTTTGGTTAAACTCATGCTGGTAGCTTCGAGAACACTATCCAACCATCTCGTCCTCTGTCATCCCCTTCTCCTTGTACCCTAAGTCTTTCCCAACATCAGGGTCTTTTCCAGGGAGTCTTCTCTTCTCATGAGGTGGCCAAAGTATTGGAACCTCAGCTTCAGAACCTATACTTAGGTGTCCTGTAAAGAACACTTTGATCGATGTCAGAGGAACACCAATCCTGGTCATGAAATCCATAAGATCTTCTAAGAGGTATGTGTGTCTTCTTATAATGTGTGTTTTCTTACAATGGTTTCATTAGAGCTGTTCAAGAAGTTGAAAACAACAAAATCTGGCTATTGAGGAGGGGGTGTAGCTCAGTAGTAGAGTGTCAAGTACGGGCGTTCCCCTCACCCTTCCGGTGGCTCACCAATAAGAATTAACAAGCATTTGGTAGATTGATAGTCCTTTTATTACAGCATTCTGTTAGAAGCAGAAACAGGCAACCCACCACAAGGATATCAGTTGCCTACTCTGACTCCTCCCCACTTCCACAGCAAGCCCCCCCCCTCTCGATTGATACATATCACTGCAAACTGATCATCCCACTGCTTGGAGCATCACATTATATCTCTGTCTGAATATGTTGTTTAGACTTTAAAATTAAGCTCATGATTTTCATCATGCATCATCAGAATAATCCTTGCAGATCGTCTTCATTGCCACTAATAGTTACATTCATTTGACCTGTTTAGCCAGACTCACTCTATCACAATCTCTTCATTTGTCCTCTGTTTCATTCACTCCCACTCAGTCATAGCCAGGGTTAATGAGAAGTGGAGAAAATTATTTGAAAAAGCTACAAAGGTTGTCATCACAGCAGGCTAGTCATAGTTCCTGATTCCACCCCACCATAAACTCTGTTGTTAAGTGCTCTAAATTAAAATCCATCAAGAGCACGATCTTTAAGCTATGCTGTATTCATTACCATTGAACAGGATTGTCTTGATGCCATGGGGAACTGAGAGTGAGGTTGGCCATCAGGGAGAGTAGACAGGCATGTTAATGAAAGCTGAGATGGGAATGGATGCTTCTCCTAAGAGGAAGGGTTATCATGGAGCAATCTTAGATCAATGTTTCATGGAAGGTGTTATGGTTTATGCATATGCCACTAGTTGGCCAGAAGATTCCCAAAGCAGGGAACAGCAAACTAATACAAAAGGAAGCTATCATAAAGGTGCAATAAATAAATCAAGGTGACCCACAACTAATACCTATGGGGAGTGCCCTGTCCTTCGTCATACCCCAAAGGATAGACTTTAAAGTCTAACATGTTTTTGGTGTTTACACCTTCAGGACCACCTGAGAACATTAGATACTGTATGTCAGACATTTGATGAGCATTTATAATCAATTCTTAAGATTTCTTTTTAAAGGAGAAAGGTGAAAAATATTATAGATATTTTCTGGAACCCATAACTGGTAAATGAACCATTTCCCCCATTGTGCTCCATTGGAAAAAGGAAAAAGGAGACAATCTAGGATACGGAGTTAAGGAAGTGTTTACTGCAAAAAGTTTCATTGCAACTTAATGGGTCTTTCTCCCTCTTTAACTTTGGTTCTGGTTCTGGAATATTCATAAATATTTATACAGCTGTCTAAAGAAGATTTAGATCTGAATTGACTGATCATCGCTTTGAAGGCCACCAGGAACAATTATGGTAATCCAGTACAATTTTGTCTAGATGATAGGCTGTAGCATTTTGCCTAGTGGTTGTTTGCATAGCATCCATAATACTGGCTGAGTTCATAGAATATTGTTTTGAAAAGTTGCGGCTCTTGACTTTAAGTTTTCATATGATTGAAAATCCATCTTAATGGAAACCTTTTGGGGAAACTTCTCTGGGTTATATTCAACAAATTTCTACTCTGAACAGATCCATTGACCCAAATTAGACATGTATATCAATTTCAATGGGCCTACTGTGGGTATTACTAACATTGGACAGAACCTCTGTATGTCATAGACAAGACCAACTACTCATCCATTGACCGGTATTATCCTATTATTTTCTAAACAATACCTATACAGTACTGTTCTGTACCATCTCAATTCTCTATACTGGCCTCTTTTATTCTGAGATGGAGTTTAGATCTACAGAGCTCTCAAAGGCTGGGTCTTGGCACCAACTCTCTCTTGAAAGCTGGCAGTAACCTTGTGTCATTGCCCTCCGTGAGCCAGTAGACTCGCTCTTCTATTAAACTCACCACTCACATTGATCATTAAAATGCTCATCTTGGGTACCCAACTCTCATTTAGACAAACAAGGAATAAGAAGCAGCTTCTGGCTTGTCCTTCGGTTCTGACTTACTCTTCAATCCCACCAATTGGCGTTTCTCCTGGATCCTGGTCCCTGGCTCAGACTGTGGTCCACAGCTTGGCCCTGACTTGCAATAATTTCCCAAACTCCAGTGGCTTGCAGATGCTACAGTGCTGGGTGATGAACATGTGTAGTTGTTCCAACAGTGAACTGATAGTTTGCTGGCTTATCATCAGACAACCAGTGTTGGGAGTAGCACTTGGAAAAAATGTTGCTCAAACTGGGAAGGGGGAGAAGCTTAGACAGAAAGGTACCCTATTCTTCCCTCACTGATTCCTTATTAAGTAACTACCTTTAGATTGTTTCCCACCCCCCTCAGGCTTAACTTTCTCCTCCTTGAGTAACTTAGTATTAGACCTATCTTGTGTTGAACTCATGATGACCCTATAGTACTCAGGATGGCTTTGTTTGCCTGGAGTAATAAACCTTAACTTGCTTTATTCTTCCAACACCACCAGACTGTTTCTTTCTGCACCTGGGTGCTATATATAACAAACTCACTTCAACTCTGTATGTTACAAATTACAAAATACAATTCCCTCAAATGGACTCTTGTTTCCTCATCTTAGCAGGTGTGTATAGATGCGTGAGAGAAGACCGACTGATCGACAAGACAAAGCCCCTTCAACAAGCTTTGGTGGCTGTGTCCTTCAAAACACTCAAGAGAGGACTCCGGGTGGCAGGAGGCCACCTCTTGACAACTAGCTCCCATAAAGAGATGTCAGCCAACCACACAGGACTGTCCACCAGCACTCTACCTAACAAACAGAATGGACAACCAGCAGTCTCTAACGCCATGACCCTGAGGTAGCCAACATGGTGCCCATCTGATATTGTTAGATTCCAGCTCCCATTAGCCCCAGCCAACATGGCCAATGGTTGAGATGCTTGGAGTTGCAGTCCAACGACATCTGGAGGTCATGACGTTGTCTCTCTCTGCCGTAAAAGCTCTACTGGTGTCTTAGACTATAAACACATTTCTGTTTGCGTGATGGCCTTAGGCCACCTTGGAAATGAAGATGCTCACGGCATTCATGTTTGTTGCAGCTCCTCAGAAATGCTCTCTAGTCGCGTTTACCTCCTGGTCAAGAGAGTTTGGATCATATAGCTCACATACTTCACTCCTAGCCTTCCTGGTACATGCATTATTTACCACAAGGCAATTTAATTTGGGCTTAGTAATTACTGTTTTCCCATTTATTGTGATCAAATTACGCCTAGCATGTTTCCATTTTGCAAGGTAAATTTCCTCCCAGTAACTCCAATCTACTCTATATGAAATCTGATTGAAATAGACAACTAACTTTTGATTCATGCCCACAGCGCCTCAAAGCACCACAGCAGGTGGAGAGGGTGTTGAAACAAATCAAGAGGCAGCCCATAGAACTAGCTGACCTCTCAGTGGCCTTGATTTGTAAAGGCAAGTCTGGCTTTTGTGAATTTCTAACAGTGCGATGCTTACAAAGTGCAAATCTCCACCCCACCCCCCTAAGTTCCCTTAGCAGTTGGCATATATTACGTGCACACACACACACACACACACACACACACACAGCAGGCTCCTGTCTGCCAGCACTCGGGTGATTTTTCTGTCTGCACCTCCTCTGTGCACAAAGGCAGAAATTTTGCAAGTTCTTGAAAAATGCTTCACAGTGGTTATTTTATTATTGCAGATGCAGAATGTTTTGCAAAGGTCGCCAGAGGATGAGGGTTCCCTCCCCACACACACTTCTGTAAGCACAGCATAGAGGTCCTTCTAAACTACGTGTTGGGTATTTTGATTAGTTGGAGCTGCAAATGTATATGCTATAATTACCTTAATTCCATGTTATTGTGGTGGGAAGCCAACTCCTGTAGTGTGGACGGGGGAATAATGATTCTATCAGTCTGTTTTTATGTATCCATCATTTTTATTTCCTATTGTTTCTCCAGCAAGCCTAGGGTGTGGGCGCGCGCGCGCGCGCACACACACACACACACGACAGCAACATGAGAATGAAGTGGCTCCTCATTTGGGGATTGCTCTCTCCAGGGACATAGACCAGTCACCCATCTAGTTCAGTGGTGCCTATAGTAACTGGCCCTGGGTGGTGCTGTGGTCTAAACCACTGAGCCTCTTGGGCTTGCCGATCAGAAGGTCGGCGGTTCGAATCCGCGCAACGGGGTGAGTTCCCGTTGCTCGGTCCCAGCTCCTGCCAACCTAGCAGTTCGAAAGCACACCAGTGCAAGTAGATAAATAGGTATCGCTGCAGCGGGAAGGTAAACAGCGTTTCCATGTGCTCTGGTTTCTGTCACGGTGTTGTGCCAGAAGCGGTTTAGTCATGCTGGCCCCATGACCTGGAAAGCCGTCTGTGGACAAACGCCGGCTCCCTCGGCCTGAAAGCGAGATGCGCGCCACAACCCCAGAGTCACCTTTGACTGGACTTAACCATCTAGGGGTCCTTTACCTTTAACTAACTGGCAATGACTCTCCAGGATTTCAGAAAGGGGCCTTTCATAGTCCATAGGAACACAGGAAGCTGCCTTATGCTGAGTCAGACCTACTGGCCTATCTAGCTCAAAAGTGTTGACACTGACTGGCAGCACAGGGTGCCCGATAAGGAGCCTTTCTCTGGATTGAAATGGGACCCTACTGCATGCAAAGCAGATGCTCTCCCACTAGCTATTGTCTATTGTCTCTGTGTGACAAAGAACAGATCAATGGCTATAAATCGTACGCAGGCAGTGTCTCAGTCCATCGGTCTTTCCCTAATGGGCCTGGTCTCCTCTCCCCTTCTGCCTTAGCAGCCAGACATGCCAGCAGTACTTACAGGCTGGCCAGTAAATAAATGTTAGCCAAAGAAACTAGTTAATAGAATTTTCCCTTTCCTTTTTCTTTTTTTGGCATAAAATGTCCAAATCTTTTGAGAATGATAAAACGGTCTGATTATTCTCAGTCATTCATCAGGCCCAAGCCAATTTTCCTTCTCGTTTATAATCCCCACCCTTGGTGACTTTTTCTTGGCCTCCATTTTGCGATGGTAAATGATAACGCCGAACGTGATGGACAGTAAGATGCAGGCCCGGCCTTAATCCTTACATAAGCTCTTATCAGGCTTCTCAATCACTGGCCATTAAAAGTCCCAGGAAAGTGGAGGGGAAACAACATTTAGAAAGCTGAAATTATCACTGGAATAATAGTAAAAACCATTCTCTCTTTTGTATGCTGGTGGTTTAGTTCATACCCTCCAACATTTCTCAGATGAAAATAGGGACATCCCATTCCATGATGATGATAATAATGATCATTTTACTATTTATACCCTACCCATCTGACTGGGTTGCTCCAGCCACTCTGGGCAGCTTCCAACATTAAACAAATAAATAAAGCATTAAACATTAATAAACTTTCCTATACAGGGCTGCTTTCAGATGTCTTCTAAAGGTTGTATAGCTACTTATCTCACTGTCTTAGCGGTATGCCAACTCCATACCCTCCAACATTTGTCCGATGAAAATAGGGATGTCTTAAGGAAAAGTGGGACACTCTGAGATCAAATCAGAAACTGGGACATGGCATTGTTGCATATGGTGTCATAATATGAGGTTACAGGGAACCAGACAGAGGGCCTTCTCGGTAGTGGCACCCTCCCTGTGGAACACCCTCCTATCAGGTGTCAGGGAAATAAATAACTACCTGACTTACAGAAAAACATCTGAAGGCAGCCCTGTTTAGGGAAGTTTTTAGTGTTCGATGTCTTATCGTGTTTTTAATATTTTATTGTGAGCTGCCCCGAGTGGCTGGGGAAACCCAGCCAGATGAGTGGGGTACAAATAATAAATTCTTATTCTTATGCTTATTCCACCTTTAATATTTTTGTTGAACATATCAATAAGGTATTTTCACCTATTTTGAGCGGCTCAGATGGGGGTGGGTATCCTGCAGGTCAAATGCGGAGGGAGGGAGGGTGGGAAGAAAGAAAGAAAGAAAGAAAGAAAGAAAGAAAGAAAGAAAGAAAGAAAGAAAGAAAGAAAGAAAGAAAGAAAGATCTAAATCTGTCAGCAACCTGGTTGTGGGAATCAGCAAGCCCCACTGATCTGAATGGGACTTATTTCTGAGTAGACATGCATAGGATCATGCCACAAGCCATTCAACATTTTTGAACAGTCCCATATATGTTTGCTGGGAGCAACAGATGCATCAATTTCTCCGTCTCAAAGGCTGATGGACTGCCAGGGAGAGATTACTGGGTGCCCCTCCCTCTCTCTTCCCATTTAACCTTGCAGAAAAGTACATTTCTGTGCTGACACATTCTTCTTGATAGTTCTCCTTGTACTTGAGGCCACCACAGGCTGTCATTCTGTCTTGGTAGGAAAAGTTAACAGGGAATATACATATAAATACAAACTGCCTCAGGCCAAAATTATTAATAGAATGTGTTAACCGCTAGCAATGTGACCTGGATCAGCTTGTGGTCCTTCTGCAATGGATTCTACACAATAACCTCATGTTTCATAGAGGTGGTAAAGCGTCCAGAGTAATCTTCATATATTTGACTCTGATTCACTCTTACTGCTTGAGTTGCAACGAATGATGGAAAAGCTGGTTCTAGGTTGGTACTAACATTTCAGAATTTCATTCTGCTTGCTGATAAATGTTTTGAAGGTCAGGTCCAAGACCCTCATTACTCTTACAAGAGAGTAGGAATTGGGACAAATTTGATTCAGTTTGCATTTAAACTTGCCTAATCAGCCATCCATGAAAATTTGTACTTCTCCGAATTTTGCAATGAATTTCAATAAATGTGCATGGAAATCAATATGTTAGGATAAAGTTTGGACAAAAATGTGCGTGCTCATGAAAATAAAATGCATTATATTAGGGAAAGCTGCTTTGCAAAAATGGGTGCATTATACAAAATTATATACAAAAAAATAGGGACGCGGGTGGCACTGTGGTCTAAATCACAGAGCCTAGGGCTTGCTGATCAGAAGGTCGGCGGTTCAAATCCCCACAATGAGGTGAGCTCCCATTGCTCGGTCCCTGCTCCTGCCAACCTAGCAGTTGGAACGTACACCAGTGCAAGTAGATAAATCGGTACCGCTCCAGCGGGAAGATAAATGGTGTTTTAGTGCTCCTCTGCTTCACCAGAAGCAGCTTAGTCATGTTGGCCACATGACCCGGAAGCTGTCTGTCGACAAACACTGGCTCCCTTGGCCAGTAAAGCAAGATGAGCGCCACAACCCCAGAGTCATCTACAACTGGAGTTAACGGTAAGGGGTCCCTTTACCTTTATTTGCAAAAATGTATACATTAGGAGAAATTTGCACTAAAATGGTGGTGAATTTTCATGAGGACTTTATTTTGTAAAAATATGGACAACTGATGTGGAATTGTGGAGAACTGAACTTAAAAGGTGAAAAATGAACAACTGAGTGAAATGGAAATTGACAGATTCAACAAAATGGGCCTTATACACAGTTACCTTTCTAGAATTTGCCATTGAAGGAACTTGCCCCCTTGTCTTGCAAGGTCTTCCAAAGGCATATCAAGTTTGGTAGTCTGGCTTGGTATAGTAGTTCCACAATAATGAGGCCTCAGCTGAAAAGGCCATGCTCTCATCCCGAACTCCTCTTCCTGCTTCCAGATTTCAGAAGCATTGTAAGATCTCCCTCTGTTTTCTGGCTTTCAGAACTTAAGCTTAATGTAAAGGATAAATGATAAATGTGTCATTGTAGTTCTGTATTGCAAGGAATTGAATGCTTCTGCTCTGCTTTCTTCACTATATGATGTCTGGAAAGAAAGAAAGAAAGAAAGAAAGAAAGAAAGAAAGAAAGAGGAAGGAAGGAAGGAAGGAAGGAAGGAAGGAAGAAAAGAAAGAAAGAAATTCTGTTACTATGAAATGAATGTAATGCAATTCCTGAATAACAGGAAAGCATAAGATGGCAAGAAGAAACATTCTTTCAAATGCTGTTTCCAGATGGGGACTCAAAACTGCAAATTGGTCATTGGGTTGTTGTCAACAGGCTTTTCCCCAGAAAGGGAAATTCTGGATTAAATGGCAAAGAAATACAGGCTGACATTCTGATGCCAATGACAGTATGTAGACTGCATGCATGAGGAGCACCCATCCCAAATCTACACACAGGCCAGGAAGCCTGCAAATAAACATGCAACCTAATTCAGCATTGCACTTACTGACTGGCGATTCAAAAAAAGGTGACTGAACGCACTTCCAAATATAACAGGTATTGGGGAAAGGATGCCCTTTCTAATTTTAAGCCTTGTGGCTTTTGAGTTAGTTCGTTTTCTTAGGAAACCCCAACACTTTGAGGATTCTTTTCCCCTCTAGGGCTAAATCCTCAAACATGACATTGAGGATGACATTTTGGGTGAAGCCTGTAATTTCCCTTGATACCATCCCCGTTTCCTCAAAATGCTCCATCCAATGATGCCTGTGCTTTCCTTTTCCCATCAGGATTGTGATGTCTCCTGACCTTGAAATGGCAGAGTAAATAGCCTAGCCTCATTGTCTGAAGTGCGGCTGCACTGCTGGGCTTTGCTTTCTTCTTAGTGTATGACTCTCTCTCTCTCTCTCTCTCTCTCTCTCTCTCTCTCTCTCTCAGGAGAACAAGGGATTTATTAGAAGACCAATCCTCTCTGATTAGAGATGAGGAATAAGATTAGCTGAAGTCAATGGAGGACATTTTGCACCTTTATTTTGTATTGTTTATTTCATTTTGCTTTCCTCCTTCAGGCACAACTTTAAACAGATAGTACCAGGAGACTATCTGGTACTATTGGGATGCGGGTGGCGCTGTGGGTTAAACCACAGAGCCTAGGACTTGCAGATCAGAAGGTCGGCGGTTCAAATCCCCATGACGGGG